AGGTAGTGGTACTTTTCTGTAATCCTATATAGTTATATTAAAATAAGTGTACATACGGACACGCACATTTTTCATTACAGTGACATAAATATTGATCAAACAAAGCAGTATTATTTTCTAACACGCACGAACACGCTCACGCACATACATACACACAAACAAACACAGATATATGGATACTGTTGACATGCAATTTAATTGTAGATATAGATACATAAAAAGCTATGCACTACACACACACACACACACACACACACACACACACACACACACACACACACACACACACACACACACACACACACACACACACACACACACACACACACACACACACACACACACACACACACACATCTTTTCAAATTTCCATACATCCATCACTCCATATATACATACATATGTACTCGTATTGGCTGTTAATTTACATCTCTTTATGATTGCATATATCTATCTGTCTGTCTCCAATCTATCTCTATCTATAAATTACCAAATTAATCAATCTTTCAATCGAACTGACCATCTATCTACTTATTTGTCTATCTCTGATGATAATGATGATATAAAAAATATGATGATGATGATAATGGTTACAATATGATGGTGATGATGATGATGATGATGATGATGTCTCAATCACGCCATTTTCGCCTTTCTCTTTTCGAAAAGAAAGAATTCCTTGTTTATTGATATTGTGACAGTACGAAGTCGACGGTCTGTGTAGATCAAGTCGACGAATTGCCGAAAGCAGAGGCGCCATTTTGTTTTCTAGGAAAGTTTTTTACAATAACTGCATTTCCCATGTTATCACCACCATTATCATGTTCATCATGACTACCAAAAGGCAAGAATTTTTTGTGAAGTATCACTTTCAATGTTTTACCATAATTTTCTTATCTAGCAGCTTGCTAATCTCAAGCTGAATAGAATTTGCGTTGAGTGCCGAGTACGGAAAATAACACAACAAATAAATAACTAATATGAGAGAATTCGTGAACCAGCCTGGGAAGCTAATTGCAGAAATGACATTCTATTCAGGAGAAGCAGTTCAAATAAAGGTTTAATACTGGTAGAAAAGGCGCCTCAGTGCAAAAGAAAATATCTTGGCAAATATAGTGATGAAATGTAAGCAAAGATTTCGAGGAATATATCTTAATGAACTTCTATCTGTATTTCCACTCACAGATCTAAATCTTTGATAAACTATTGATTTTCGGTTAGTTTGTTTGCCACCGAGATCGTTAATATAAGAATTATATGAAGAACTATTATCGAATTACAAAAACCTTTGTGTAGATTCCCTAAATAAGTAACGAGGGAGCCAGATTTTGGTGAGGATGTGGAGTAGAGACGTGGCCGAGAAACAGGTTGAATAGATTGTTTAAGGAAGAGAATATCTGCGAAAGAGTGAACATGTTTATGTGGGTGAGAATGGACGCGGGCAAGCTTTTATATTCTCACAACACACCGCAACTTTTTTGACGTGTAACCATTATCCTCCCTGTGCAATCTCCCCTTTGCAACATGCCATTCTTCCAAGATTCTCTCCTGCTTTGGACACGCCCGGTCTTTCTATATATATATATATATCTTTTATATTTCATTCGTTCTTTCCATTTCGCTTTCTTCTTTCGTGCTGTTTCCTCCTATTTTTCTTATACACTTATTTTCATCTTCTTCTTCTTCTTCTTTTTTCTTCAGCTTATTCCCATTTCTATATGGGGTCACTGTTCCTCGCTAGCCTCTTCCATCTTGCTCTGTCCATTGCATCTTCCCTTCTGAGTCCCTTGTCTTCCAGATCTTCTTTTAACCTTTCCCTCCAACTTAATTTGGGTCTACCTCTCCTTCTACGCCCATCCACGTGCATTTCCATAACTTGGTTTCCAATATAGCCTTCTTCACTTCTGATGACATGCCCATACCAGTTAATCCTTCTTTCTTGCATCTTTGCACTCACTTCTGTGACCTTGACTGTACCTTTGATGTAGTCATTCCTGATCTTATCCTTCCTCGTGACACCACACATCCACCTTAACATCCTCATCTCTGCTACATTCACCTTCTTTTCATGCACCCTCTTAATTGGCCATGTCTCGCTCCCATAAAGGATAGCAGGTCTCACAGCTGTTTTGTAAACCTTCCCTTTGAGTCTTGCGCTGATCTTCTTGTCGCAGAGTAATCCTGAAAACCTTCTCCATGCCTGCCACCCGGACTGAAGGCGTTGGTTTACTTCTACATCCACTTCACCGTCCTCTGTCACATGTGAGCCTAGATATTTAAAAGCTGGTACCCTCTTAATGATCTCGTCATCCATTTCCACCCCATTTTCCTCCTCAAAATCATTAAATGAGAGGTACTCAGACTTTGTTCTGCTTATCTTCAAGCCTCGGTCCTCCAAAGCCCTCTTCCATTGCGAAAGTTTCTCTCTCAATGATTCTTTTGTATTACACACCAAGACAATGTCATCTGCAAATAACATTGTCCAGGGTGCCTCCTCTCGAATCCCTTCGCTTAGAACGTCCATTATAAGGTCGAATATATACGGACTGAGAGTAGAGCCCTGGTGGAGTCCTACTTTGATGTTAAATTCATCCGTTATTCCGACGCAACTACTAACTTGTGATGTTACATCTCTATACATATCTTGAACCAATCTTACATACTTCTCGCTCACTCCCTTTTCTCTCATGCACCTCCATACCTCTGACCTCGGTACACGATCATACGCCTTCTCGAGGTCAATGAAAGCCATGTGCAGTCCCTTCTGTTTCTCCCTGTACTTTTCCATTGTCTGTCTTAAGGCAAAAATAGCATCTGATGTCTGTCTTCCCTTAACAAATCCAAACTGGTTCTCACTGATGACCGTTTCAGCCTCGATCCTCATTCCAATAGTCCTCTCCCAAAGCTTCATTGTATGCGAGATCAATTTAATCCCCCTGTAGTTAGTGCAGTCCTGGATGTTACCTTTCTGTTTATATATGGGCACAATAGTGCTCTTCCTCCACTCCGATGGAATTTTCTCTTGCTCATATATTTTATTTAAAAGATCCCACAAAACATCTATATACACTTATTTTCATCTATATTTCTTAATCTCCTTCTATGTCTTCTTATTCTTCTTCCTCTTTTCATTCATTTAAAGTTTATAGTTTTCGCACCTCTGCTTTCTATTGCCATCTTTCTCACTTCCTTTCCTTTTATAATCAACAGTTTTTTGGAATTATTCTAGTCAGATTGAAGAACAATTCGAATTAAAAAAATAAACTAAGAATAATCTGCGGAAAGTGTGTCAGATGGAGAATTTTGACAGTGATTCTAAGAAATCCTTTACGTATGTATATGTGTGTGTGTGTGTGCGTGTGCGTGTGTGCGGGGGGGGGGGGGGGGGGTGCGGTGTACGTTTCAGTGTGTATATGTAATCCATTTTTATAATATAGAAATAGAGTGTATATTTCTTCTTGGGTCGGGGGGATGTTCCTCGTAATCAAAAGAAGGAAACACCGAGCTGAATCTCGTAGGTTTTATTCTCAGGAGTTACATGGCGGCGAGAGCACACATCTGTCTCGTATGGTTGACCAGCGCCGACAGACCGAAAATTGGCGGGAAACCTCGCTCACAGGCAATGGTGCTAGGTCACGTGGCCATGGACAGTGTTGCCACGTCACATGCAATATACATATATGGGAGGTCATCAAAAAATAGGTGCATACAATTAGTTACAGAGATACAAATAATAATAAAGAAATATAATGCAAACATAATACATATATTGTAAAGGCTAAACACACTGTATGAGTTTTCACTTATCTACGTATAGATATAAGGAAGAATTGATACAAAAAAGCTGAAGTCGAGCAGGCGAGGAGCAATAAGCTGGACCCAAAAAGACGTCCTCAAAACGGCGGCGAGAACCCTCCCAAATGGTCCCCACCGAAGGCGCCGACAACATGGAGGCAAAAGTGTCTGAATTTTGAATCCGAATGAGATGCGATGCTTATCTCCAAGCATTCAGTTGAATGCACATCGCATTCGTTATCTTAATCCTCCCCTCCCGTTTCTCTTCCTCTCTATTGAAGATAGTAAGTGGAAAAGGAGAAACACGAATCCAAGTAAAAATTAACTAAGAAAAGGAGACGAAGGATTTCAATCGAAAAAGAAAAAAACAAATTGATAATCACCGACAAAAGAACAAGAATGGGCAGTGCATAAGGTAAAGAGAAGAATTCAAAGATTCGAAACAGGTAAATGGAAACAGAAAAGACGGAGAACAAAAGCAGAAAGTAAAATCAATATTTTTGTTTGATTTCCGAACTCGTGGACAATTTGCACGGAGTGATCGAGAGCATCTGCGAATCTCCTTGGATCAAGGCTGTTGACGAGAAGAAATTGCGAGAAGCTGTTCATAGGCAGATGCTAATACACGGAGAGAAAGAGAGAAAAATGGAGAAAAAAGACGAGGATGAAAACAAAACAAAAACAAAGATACACTAGAGACCTATGTGAAGATAGGGAGATGGGATAAATACAAATACAGAGACTTCAGGTACAAAAGCAAAGCAGAAATTTCGTGTGTGTGAACAAGGTATGAACGGAAGAGCGGCGCTGGCCCGCCCTCGTCGGCTCGGCGGGTTTTGCGCCTTTCCCGATGCATCCGGTTCGTGGGCGCTGGATCCTGCCGGGAAGACGAGGGGGATGTCTTGTTTCCTCGGCTGCGCCCCTGCAATGGAAGGTCACGTGAATAACCATGGTATTTTCACTGTGGGGGGAATAGTGGAATAAAAAGAAAATTCTGAAAAAAATGCAATTTCGGACGAGTCTGGCGCCGCTGCAAGATGCGCTGCGCCGGTGCCAGTGTTGCCGAAGTCCCTAAGAAAACGTGAGAAAAAAAGACTGATATGACGAACATCCCCCCCCCCCCCACACACACACACGAGAACACACACACGCACACATACAAATCACACACATCATAAATGTTTTAGATAGATAGATAGAGAGAGAGAGAGAGAGAGAGAAGGCAAGGTGAAAGCTCACGTCAAGGATAAATATATATATATATATATATATATATAATATATATATATATATATATATATATATATATTATATATATATGTATAATATGTATGTATATATGTATGTATGTATATATATTGTATATATATAATATATGTATATATAGATATGTATATATAGATATGTATATATATGTATATATAGATATATATGTATATTTAGATATATAATATATATATAGATATATAATATATATATAGATATATAATATATATATAATATAATTATATATTATTATATAATAATACATTAGATATAAAATATATATATATATATAGATATATAATATATAGATATATAATATATAGATACATAGATAGATAGATAGATAGATAGATAGATAGATAGATAGATAGATATATTTCGACTTTTTTAAATATCGATAAAACCAAACCTCTTTACCAAACCCTATGAGGCGTCGGATCCTGAAAAGGAACTCACCATGCGTCATCAGTTCATAATTCTGTTGTTAGTGGCAATCGGCGCCCGCGCCCTCGCGCTGGACGAGCACCGCCCGCTTGCGCCCCAGGAAGAGGCAGACGCGCCCTTCCCGCCCGTACCTCTGTACGTGGCAGCCGCCGATATGGCCGCTGCACGTCAGGCGTTAAGTCAACAGATTAGACAGGCCCTCATAAGGGCTCTCCCGCTGAATCAACGGGAGTCAAGAAAGGTGACGGCCGAGCTTCATCTGGCTCTGACGTCTTAGTTTACTCAGCCAGAGGCGGCAGTCACCGAGCCTGAAAAGGAGACCCTGGAAGCCGTCGCAGAACCCGAGCTGTATGGGAGGGGGTCCGAAACACCACCTCCACCACCTCCCCCATCTGCTCCCCCGCCACCATGGAGTTCTGTCTCCCCCCCTCCCCCCACCCCCCTCGTCGCCGAAGAGCCCGAGAAGGAGACCCAGGAAGTCACCCTAGAGCCCGAGACCCAGGAAGTCACCCTAGAGCCGAGAAGGAGACCCAGGAAGTCACCCTAGAGCCCGAGAAGGAGACCCAGGAAGTCACCCTAGAGCCCGAGAAGGAGACCCAGGAAGTCACCCTAGAGCCGAGAAGGAGACCCAGGAAGTCACCCTAGAGCCCGAGAAGGAGTCACCTAGAGCCCCAGGAAGTCACCCTAGAGCCCGAGAAGGAGACCCAGGAAGTCACCCTAGAGTCACCCTAGAGCCCGAGAAGGAGACCGGAAGTCACCCTAGAGCCGAGAAGGAGACCAGGAAGTCACCCTAGAGCCCGAGAAGGAGACCAGGAAGTCACCCTAGAGCCCGAGAAGGCCCAGGAAGTCACCCTAGAGCCCGAGAAGGAGACCAGGAAGTCACCAGTGAGAGAAGAGACCCAGGAAGTCACCCTAGAGCCGAGAAGGAGACCCAGGAAGTCACCCTAGAGCCCGAGAAGGAGACCCAGGAAGTCACCCTAGAGCCGAGAAGGAGACCAGGAAGTCAAGAGCCGAGAGGAGACCCAGGAAGTCAAGAGCCGAGAAGGAGACCAGGAAGTCAAGAGCCGAGAAGGAGACCCAGGAAGTCAAGAGCCCGAGAAGGAGACCGGAAGTCAAGAGCCGAGAAGGAGACCCAGGAAGTCCCAAGAGCCGAGAAGGAGACCCAGGAAGTCCCCCGAGAAGGAGACCCAGGAAGTCCCCCCCGGAAAGAGCTCGAGAAGGAGACCCAGGAAGTCCCCGAAGAGCCCGAAAAGGAGACCCAGGAAGTCCCCGAAGAGCTCGAAAAGGAGACCAGGAAGTCCCGAAGAGCCGAAAAGGAGACCCAGGAAGTCAAAGAGCCGAGAAGGAGACCCAGGAAGTCGCCAAGAGCCCGAGAAGGAGACCCAGGAAGTCGCCCAGAGCCCGAGAAGGAGACCAGGAAGTCCCCAAGAGCCCGAGAAGGAGACCCAGGAAGTCGCCCAAGAGCCCGAGAAGGAGACCCAGGAAGTCGCCCAAGAGCTCGAGAAGGAGACCCAGGAGTCCGAGGTCGTCGGCGAGGCCGAGATGGAGTCCGTGAGGACCTTCTCGTCGTAGCTCGCCGGCGACCAGCAGGAGCTCGCTCTCCAGCTCATCGCCGACGAAATCAAGGCGGGGCTGGAGGCACTCCTCCGGGTCTCGGGGACTAATGGCAAGGAGAGGGCTTTTGCAGTTGAGCTCGAGCTCTCCATGCCTAAGGGTTTCCTGGCTCACTAGGCCATCGGGCGGGTCCTTAAGGAGGCCGTCCAGGGTACGCGTCTGGATCCCGAAGCCTGATGACGACGTCGACGTCGACCTCCCCCTCCCCCTCCCCCTCCCCTCCCAATGCATAATAAAAATAAAGAAATAATAATAATAATAATAATAATACAAGGCTAAAAATAATAAATGACATTTTGATAAATATGATAACAAAAATTGATAATGAACATACACACACACACGGACTCTCAGAGAGAGAGAGAGAGAGAGAGAGAGAGAGAGAGAGAGAGAGGAGAGAGAGAGAGAGAGAGAGAGAGAGAGAGAGAGAGAGAGAGAGAGAGAGAGAGAGAGGAAGAGAGAGAAAGAGAGAGAGAGAGAGAGAGAGAGAGAGAGAGAGAGAGAGAGAGAGAGAGAGAGAGA